TACATACTCTATCCATCTGTTAATTATATTACTATGTCACATTAATAAGTCACCATCTTTTGATTTCAAACATCCAGTGCTGTTGCACGTCATCTTTCCTGTTAACACATTTATCTGTTAGCACATGGAATGTGAGTCTTTCCTGTGATTTTCCCCAATCTCTGTACACATTTGATTCAGCCAGGCTTCTTTAGCCACTTTGCATTTGTTCACTATTTCTTTTTTGTATTCTAGAGTATTCTTCTTTATCATTCTTTTTCTTCCTTCTTTCATCCATCAACTGCAGAATTTCGGTTGACATCCATTTCTTTTTTGCAACTCTATGGGTTGGTCGGATTGTCTCTTTTGATGTCTGCTGAATTGACTCTCGCAACATATCCCACTGTTTATCAATAGTCTGTATAATTTCCATTGCATTATACCGGTTTTGTACAGTGACATTGTACTGGTCCTTAATTTCTTTATCCGTTCTAAGAATTCCTAAATTTAACTTGATGTTCTGTGGTGTTTTTCTAGCGTTCTTTAGTTTTATTCTAATTTTTCCTACAACTGGAACATGGTCACTAAAGCAGTCTGCCCCTGGTCTAGTTTTTGCTCCAACTAAGCTGCTCTGAAATCTTCTTGAAATCAAAATATAATCAGTCTGATTGCGGACATTATCACCAGGACTTTTCCAAGTCCACAATCTTCGAGGATTGTGTTCAAACCAGGTGTTACCTATTATCACGCTGCGCGACTCAGCCCATGCTATTAATCTGTCACCTCTCACATTCTTCTTTCCTCCTAGGCCATAGCCACCCGTTATTCCGTACACTTTTTCGCTTCCTACTTTCGCGTTGAAATCTCCAAGTACCATTGCTACTTCACAGTTTTTGCATCGATCAACAGCCATGTCTTACTCGTCATAAAATGCGTCAATATCTTCCTCTGAACTATCTGCTGTTGGGGCATAAATCTGTACTAAGTTGATGTCAAACGGTCTGCCGCGAAGTTTTACTAATAGTACTCTACCTGATATTGTCCAAAATCCTTTAACAGTTTTTGAGTTCTTTGGATCCAAAATAATACCAACTCCCTTACTATATTCCTTCCCACCCGAGTAAATAATTATGTGCTGATCTGAATACTTTTCCCCTGCTCCTGGCCATCGCATTTCACTAATTCCTAATATGTTGATGTTAATTCTCTTCATTTCCATCTTGATGTTATCCAGCTTTCCGTTTTGAACGAGTGTTCTGACATTCCATGTACCAATGTTCATGATGTTTCTACCATTTACTTTTTCTACAGTAGCTGGATGACGGTCGGGTATCACCCGTTGAACATGATGCTCCCTTCCGGACGAGGTGATTCCACCGGAATCCCCATTCACGTCGTTATCTGAATACGTATTATTTTGAGGCATGATTAACTAGGGATAGTACAGCAGTGGTTTCCCCGCGCCTTTCACCGGTTTGTGTATGGTTTGACCCCAAAAGCCTTTGTCTAAAGAGACTTACCCTGAAAGTCAGCAGAGGGGGAGAGGTTATGGCGCCTCTTACCCGCCGATGGCTATGTCGTAGAGTTTTGAGGTATTTTATAGAGTTACGCCTGGCAGTATTCAAAACAACGAACACAAATACAGCGACACAATAAATATGTTACACAAAAGAACAAACCATGTACCATAATTATTTTATTTCATAATTGTGTCACCCTCTCCTCCCTTTCTTCCCCCAGTTTTCAAAATTCTTGTTTGACATTCCACACAAAATGAAAAGGGAGTGGCGTGGCATAAAACGGGTTGCTAATGATGGATTCTTAGGGGCTACTGCATATCATTTTGGCAAATTGGTGAAAGACGTCGCTGCAGTGAACGAGACAGGACGCTGGACACACTGGCAGATGAGTAATGGGGGTAATTTCTACACGCCCAATAAACATTTTATTATTCGTGACCCGTGACAAATGATGGAGTGATTGTTGGCATTATAAGGCAGAGTGATCTCCCTCTTCACCTTTTCTCCCCAAACTATTCCCAGAAAAGTTGCTATAATTGTAATAGTCGGTGTTTATAAATGAAATAGAACTTAAAAGCATGATTACATCAAAATCATATTTAAGTGCATTCATTTACAAGAAACAGCTAAATAGCAGGCACACCAGTACAGAAGTCACAAAAGTTACGGGTGCTTTATTAATATCCTACCCGCCAAATGACGTCACATGGTAGTCCAACATTTAAGAGGGCGATAAGACTGGGTTTCCCGGCTTTCTGACGCTTTTAAAGACCCCAAAACATCTAGAGCTGACTCTAACCCCAACCCACCTACGTCCCACGAGAGTGTGCAGCTTATGTCCCACGACTGCATACAGCCTAGGTCCCACGATTGCATGCAGCCTATTTACCACCCCCATCCCCACCCCACCCCCGAAATATTAGACTGTATCGTGACCTGCGGATTTCCCCTGTTTGGGGTAGGATATTAAGAAAGCACCATGGATCTTCATACACCGATAGATTTCTATAGGTTTCACCGCTTTACTTATTAAAAAACCGGATAATAGAACGCAGCCTATCTTTGGTGCATGTCAAAAGTGGGGCAGCCATCTTTGAACTGTCATTGTGTGGTTCTCGTATTCATTTGCGCAGTGATGTAATGTTCTTAACACTCCAGACAGCCTTAACAATAATATTTACATGTTGCAGCATATTACTATTAACATTTTAAGATTGTATTCGTATTCATAGTAAAGTAAAAGTAAAAGGAAAGCTGCAGAGGTGTCGCAGTTAGACGCTCGACTGTGGATGCAAAGGTCATGGGTTCAGGTCCTCACGGAGCCGGACTTTTTTTTCTCAGAAATGATCTTGGCTTTCAGGTCAACCTGGCCTTCAGTGGGTACCAGGTTTAGTCCTGAGAAGCAAGAGTGGCCGATGTCATGTTGCCCAAATCCCAACTGATTGCCCATTGGTCTATTTAATATAGGTCTAGCCCTATAGGCCGAATACGCCTGTAGTAAAGTAGTAAAGTAGTAAAGTATAGGACTATTTTCTACGTCTTTAGGCGTTTATGGCATATAGGGATAGACCTATAATTTATAGACCAATCGGCACAAGATGAGTGATGTGATCAGCATCACGCCGGCCGCCTTAACTTCCCGGGACTGCACCCGTACCCACTCAAGGCTGGGTCGACCTGGGAGCCAGGTCATTTTGGAAAAAAGTCCTGCTCCTCCAGGGAGCAAACCCACGACCTCGTGATCAACGGCGAGCGTCTAGCCACTCCGCCACGGCGACTTCGTCAAATACACATGAAAGAGTGAAAAGGGTCCATAGAAGAAAAAGAACTTTAGAATTCAATCCGTGTTGCTATTGTAATATTTATAAATTATTGCAAGATCATCAGTATGACTAGAGGTTCGCGGCAGATCTCTGAAGAATACAAAGTGGGATCCGCATGTCTCAACTAATTGGAACCACCGACTAACGTTAATTTCCTGGTCCAGCGATAGTTTCTCATTAACTGTGGATCCAAGACATTCCCAGACAGCTCTTCGCCATCAATTTAGACTGCAGTTCTCTAGTTAACACATTGCACCAAGATCTTTGTCTTCTTTTTGTTGATTGTGAATTCCAATTAGATATACAGTAATTGCAGTTTTGGCCGTTTTGTGTGTGTGTGTGTGTGTGTGTGTGTGTGTGTGTGTGTGCAGTTCCTCATTGTGTTTGCTTAGCCGAATCACCGCTGTCCGTTGTTTATTTTTTATTTTAAAGGTGCCCAAAAGAGATGAAAACTTGAGTATGCTACGTAAGTAAGTAAAGGACCTTTTCCCACGACATTATACACACTTAACAGGGGTGCTGGAAGGCTCGGGATCATGCTATTTGTGCCCTCGGCCCCCCCCCCCCCCCCCCCCCGCCATCCCCATCATCCCCAAAATTATGTAGCCAAGTATTATTATTATTATGTTACCCCTAAAGTTTTCTCTGTAACTGGGGTATTCTAATATCTTTACAGAACAATAAGCACTCGACGAGTCACGTGACCTGTTTCTCACTGGCTGTCTTTGTTTTGAAGGAAGTATCTTGTTGTAAGTATAATACAGTGTCACATATTTAGGGAAAATGCGAGAGTTCCTCCCATCCTTTCCCCACCCACATACCATCTATCCCGAAGAGTTCTGTTATTAATAATGTAATAACTATCAAAAATGAGGATTCGAAAGAATTGGGCAAATAGCTTCAAAAGCTCCGTAACTTCTATATCTCTGTATGGATGTGTTTGTGGTGTATGTCAAACATACCTCCACAGAGAAGACATTTTTGCATGTGTTTGTGTGCGTATGAGTATGTGTGAAACTATGTGATTATAAGTTAATTATATGTTAAAATACTATGCATCTGTTGATATCACTGTCATATAATAATGTCGCATTACATAAACAGGGGTTGCCTTGCGTATACAGTTATGGACTTTGTGTGTGACCTATATTGTCGTTAGTGAGAGAAGAGCTACTCTCAACAAATACAAGACTGGCGTCCAATCTGGGAAATCAGATTACACACACACACACACACACAGAGAGAGAGAGAGAGAGAGAGAGAGAGAGAGAGAGAGAGAGAGAGAGAGAGAGAGAGAGGCGTGTCGCCTTTTTAGTTGTATTTGGGGTATCATTGACACACGCATTTCCAGACAAAGTGATTGGCATGTTCGAGCAGCTTTGGCAATCATGGTAGTGATGTTGATGACGATGACGATGATGATGATGATGATGATGATTGTGGTGTTTGGGGTGAAGATGATGATGGTGATGTGATGTGAAAATGGCTAGGTAAAGTCGTTATGATGATAATGATGATTATGGTAGTTTTAATGGTGGCGGCGGTTGGTCATGGTGTTGAAGATGAGGAAGATGTTAAATTTGGCAGTTTGTGTAACAAATTTGTTCAGTTACAATGTTGTGTAGCATATGCAAAGAACTAATCTGTTTGATAAAGGAGTCACATGTTTCTCTTAAAGTTAGCTGCTCATATCAATGGTTTCATAGGAGTCATCTTTCTCTATAGCTGATTCACTCACTGTGACTATTGATTCAGCTGAAAGCTGACTTTCTGCTTGTTTGGCAGAAAGGATGAAATCAACTGGAATGGTCGCTAAAGTTTGATGTCGGGCTTCATTTCTTGATTTACAGCTTTCTAAAGAGTCAGTAAAGTCTAGAGATGGAGGTGGAGAAGGACTAGTGGCTGAGTCGATTAGAGTAGGTACTCTGTGTTCTAATCTAACGCTCTGTTGAGAATACGAGACTTCTGGTTCTACATCTGATGAGCTGGACTGTGGCGATCCTGAGCAGTTGTCTTCGCAGTTCAAAGCCACACCGAAGATGCCTTCCATAGATGACGGATGGATATCTTTTACTTTGGAGCTCACAAATGTTCGTGATGATTCAGCCATCTGCTTTGATGACTCTGCCTGCTTAGATACCTCCACGTTCTTATGATGGGTAATACCACCCACATCACCATTCGCGAAATCCGCAGCAATAACGAATTCTGAAGCTTCTGCTTTGATGAAACAGCCGACCTTGAAGTTATCACCTTTACGACGGTCCGTTGAATTCAAGTCCACGCTTCTACTCGCCACCGCCTTAGATGCATAAGGTAGTAGTCTAAGCTGTGAATGTATATCACTCTTCACTTCCATCCCCTCGCCCAGGTTAATGACATCGCGGGTCACTATGCTGTTAAAGTGACCGAAGGCGCCTCTTGACTCAAAATCCACCTGGTGCTCCAGCGGTAGTTCGGATCTGGACTCTGAATTTTTCCTGTTCTTTGCTTTGATGATGTTCTTCTCAACGTTTAGTTTGTGTTCTGCTACCTCTGCGCTGGAGATGTTCTCTTGTTTCTTCCATTTGGTTCTGCGGTTCTGGAACCAAATTTTTACCTGGGAGAAGAGAGTAATGTGTTTAATTATCCTCCAGAATATTTCTTTAAAGAATAATACGTTTTATGTACTAGTAGTAGTAGTAGTAGTAGCAGCAGCAGCAGCAGCAGCAGCAGCAGCAGTAGTAGTAGTAGTAGTAGTAGTAGTAGTAGTAGTAGTAGTAGTAGTAGTAGTAGTAGTAGTAGTAGTAGTAGTAGTAGTAGTAGTAATATTGGTAGTAGTAGTAGAAGTAGTAGAAGTAGTAGTTGTAGAAGTAGTAGTTGTAGTTTAAGAAGAAGAAGAAGTAGTAGTAATAATAGTAGTAGTAATAGTAGTAATATTAGTAGTAGTAGTAGTAGTAGTAGTAGTAGTAGTAGTAGTAGTAGTAGTAGTAGTAGTAGTAGTAGTAGTAGTAGTAGTAGTAGTAGTAGAAGTAGTAGTAGTAGTAGAAGTAGTAGCCATGCGTCTCTAAATCTTCAGGCTCAAAGACCCCCACACCCTCCCATCCCCTTTTCGATGCCACCGTGATAAAGTGGCTGTACTCTCGCCTATGCATGAGATGGTCGTTGGTTCGGATCCTGACGTAGGTGGGCTTTATTTAAAAACTTCTTTGGCTTCCAGGTCGACCCAGCCTTAAATGGGAACCAGAAAGAGTCCTGGGAAGTAACGGCGGCCGACAGATTGTTTACCACATCATCTATTATAATAATGTTATTAATTCATACAATTTACATTGACAGATAGAAGACTGCACTGATGAACAGAAAAAAATAGACAGAAGACAGGCGAGCAGCCATGCAAAAGCACACGAACTCAGACAGCTGGGAAATGGTCTGTGGTATTAAAATTCGGATAAATAGAACTTACACACAAACGCATACACACCCACCTACCCACCCCCCCCCCCACACACACACACAAAACAACATAACCGCACACGTATACGCACCCGTACCCCCACGCACACACTCACGCACTCACACTCACACCCACACACACACACAGAGAGATAACGTGTAAGTCTAATTTAAAGATTAAAACAACAACGTCTTTGCGAGGAAAGTTGGCTGAGTAGAATTTCCAACAATTCCTCTCACTCTGGGTTTACGATTAGACAGACTGCTCTTCGCCCATCTCTTCGTACTGTCTTTCTAACCGTCTCATTATCTGTTTTTTGTTCACCTATGTTCTTCTCCTTAACCCCCCCCCCACCCCCCGCCTTTCCCCCACCGCCTCCACCCCGAAACCCCCCTCCTGAACAGTTATGTGGCATGTCTTTCAACAGTTGCAGTATATGCAAGCGTCTAGCCGTCACACAACGGCGACTCCCTTATATTACTGTCTACTATTTACTTTCATCACCCCTACGTTCAGAAAGGTATTTCTTATCTTACACACTTTATCAGACCTTCAAGGGGTCAGCGTGGTCTCATGGCATGTGTCCGCCACGAGTGCTAGAGGTTCGGGGTTAATTCCCCGGTAAGGGCTGTGATTTTTTCACGTGCACTTGGACTTCTATAATTCTCGCATTGTTGCGCACGTAAAAAATCCCTTGACAGTTGAAAATCGAAAAGAGTAACATAACGGCGCTGCCCGTGCAAAATTTGGAGTTAAAAATCTACCTAAAGTATTTCAGGATCCTCGTCGGTGCTACAGAGCCTGTGCACTGTGCTGAGGTTCTTCGGACTCACGCTTGAGTTAGAAGAAGAATGGAGCACTTATGGGTTACTACCCGTATGCCATAATGTTGATCCATCGTTCAAACTTACATACTTTATCAGACCTTCTCTCTTCGGGGATAAATCGTCGATACTCCTGATGCAGCAAGCGCCGATCACATACTTCCACCCTTCAGGTGCACTCAGACGTCTCTCATCTGAAGCACTAGTCAAAGATTTCCACACCGATGTCAATACATCGCCCACCATCATCAGCGCTCGGTACGGATCAATTTTATCACGGTAGCCACAAGAGTTGAATAGACACTTAATTTAGCTAGCGCCACTCAAGACTTGCCCCAGCATTAGCTTGATCATTTACTGTAAAGATTTCACTAGCTTCATCATAACTAGCCTCAAATCTTCACCATAACTTCATGTCCCCTCTTGGAGGGGTCATCGATTCTCACCCTAGTCCCCTTGTAATTGATTTTTTATCGGTGTCCGAACTGGGGGAAATAATTGCAAACACGATATTTGAGTATTGATAGGTGGACTATAGAAATCATGGAGAGTACGCCCCCTTCCTGAAATCAGTGTTGATTTCAGAGTTCAAAAACTCGACACTTAGCGAACTGGAGCCTGTGTTTGGTGCCGGTAACGTTAATCGAACTGTATGTTTCATTCATTTTAATGCGATTTTCAAATATGTTTGATTTGAACCAGGAAATGTGGGGGGGTGGGGGGGGGGGTTTATAAAAGAGGCAGGGTTTTTTTAACTGCAGAACATGACTTTATCTTCCTCTTTAGAGCTGCTGGCCGTCGACAACGAGAAAAGAAGTAGGAGAGTGACGTGATGACAGTAAGGACACAGAAAAGGAAGAGGAGGAGGAAGAAGAAGAAGAAAAAGAAGAAAAAAGAAGAAGAAAAAGAAGAAGAAGAAGAAGAAGAAGAAGAAGAAGAAGAAGAAGAAGAAGAAGAAGAAGAAGAAGAAGAAGAAGAAGAAGAAAGAAGAAGAAGAAGAAGAAAAAGAAAAAGAAAAAGAAAGAGAAGAAGAAGAAGAAGAAGAGAAGAAGAAGAAGAAGAAGAAGAAGAAGAAGAAGAAGAAGAAGAAGAAGAAGAAGAAGAAGAAGAAGAAGAAGAAGAAGAAGAAGAAGAAGAAGATGAAAGAAGAAGAAGAAGACGAAGAAGAAGAAGAAGAAGAAGAAGAAGAAGAAGAAGAAGAAGAAGAAAGAAGAAGAAGAAGAAGAAGAAGAGAGAAAGAAGAAGAAGAAGAAAGAGAGAAGAAGAAGAAGAAGAAGAAGAAGAAGAAGAAAAAAAAAGAAGAAAAGAGAAGAAGAAGAAAAAAAGAAGAAGAGAAGAAGAAGAAGAAAAAAAAAAAAGAAGAAGAAGAAGAAGAAGAAATGAAGGAAGAAAAAGAAGAAGAAGAAGAAGAAGAAAAGAAGAAGAAGAAGAAGAAGAAGAAGACGAAGAAGAAGAAGAAGAAGAAGAAGAAGAGAAGAAGAAGAAGAAGAAGAAGAAGAAGAGAAGAAGAAGAAGAAGAAGAAGAAGAAGAAGAAGAAGAAGCAGAAAAAGAAGAAGAAGAAGAAGAAGAAGAAGAAGAAGAAGAAGAAGAAGAAGAAGAAGAAAGAAGAAGAAGAAGAAGAGAAGAAGAAGAAGAAGAAGAAGAAAGAAGAAGAGAAGAAGAAGAAAAGAGAGAAGAAGAAGAAGAAGAAGAAAAAGAAGAAAAAGAAGAAGAAGAAGAAGAAGAAAGGAGAACGAAAAGGAGATGGAGGCAAAGAATGAATAGAAAGAGTACGATGGTGATGAAAAGACGAAGAAGAAACACAGAAGAAGTAAAAAAGTCGAAAGAAGAAGAAAATCACAAAGCACAAACTCTCTAATGCAATTCCATTTGACAATTCTCAAGAAACAAAAATGTCCGAATGAGTACCCCAACCTTCAAAGCGGAAGGCTTGCCAACTTCACCACGGAGACGACAAACGCTGTGACAGAACTTGGATACTGCACTACGGCACGTTACAAAACGGACTGACTGACTTTCTACCCCACCAGGACATCACACAAGCGATAAACACCCGATGACACATTGTGGGCGAGGATCACCGTGGAGAGGTCCCAGAAACCGGGTTCAGCTATTAGGCCATATTTATACCAGGCTATATTGCGGCCACTGGCAATAGCCAGAGTAGGGCTTCAAAATAACAAACAATTTCATCCTAAAAAGGACGGGAAGTACTAAGTTACAAAACTCACGCCATCACACTTTACAAAATATCCGGAAAACTCCTTTACGGATTAACGTGATGTTTGTTAGCATGTGACCTTACATGTTCCAGGTCCTTATGATTCTATAATTTAAAATTGTGCAGATGCTGCTGTTTTTATAAAACGGCAAACTTCTTTGATCTTTGACTAATACTTTCTGTACCTCTAAAAGATCTGGTGTGCGGTTAACGACACACATTTGGAGATCGTTTGGGAATTAGTTCCCCAATGCAGCGATGCGTGATATTTCTACAATCCATATTCTGCCTTGGTAGACCTCTGAAACGTTACCGCTGTATAAGAATACAATTGCTGTCTTTGGTGCCCTGTCTGATGCCAGTCGGGTTACATGGCCAAACGATTTGATTTGCTATCAACCTACAAAGTTTAATTTTGGTTCTGTGCCGACTCTCCTCCTGATATCATCGTTTGGTCTTTCCTTGTTACACCAAGAATAGTACGTAAACATTTCTTTTCTGTTGTGACTATTTTCCTTCTGTTTTCTTCTACGGCTAAAATATACTAATCGTTTACCCTTGTTCAGTAGTAATACTGGAGGTTTCAGCTTCACTGCAGACGTGTTACCCATTCATTGCTGCGTGACAACCATACGTAGTGCCCCCTCACATTCCCCCCCCCCCCCCCCCCCCAAAACGTCTAATGAGCAATCAATTAAATCCAGCACACGCCATTTTCAGCATATAGTAATCAGACGTGCAGGAAGAAGTAGACAGCAGGACACTGTACTAGTGGTTCTGAACATGATGGGAACTAATCCCCATGGGGACCCTTACAAAAAATGGGGAAGGGGTGGGGGCAAGGAAATTTCAAGAGCGCGTCAAGCAGTTCTGAAATTGAGTCCATTGGCAGTTCCCCCCCCCCCCACCCCTTTTTTTAAAAAAGACGACTCCCAGGTCGACCCAGCCTTGAGTGGGTACCGGGTGCAGTCCCTGGAAGTAAAGGCGGTCGGCGTGATGTGACCATATCACCCATCTTGTGCCGATTGGTCTATAAAAATATAGGTCTAGCACTATATGCCCTATATGCCCTATACGCCTAAAGGCGTGGAAAAAAGGACCTTTCCTTTTTTTTTTA